AGAGAGAGAGAGAGAGAGAGAGAGNNGAGAGAGAGAGAGAGAAGAAGTGGCGCGAAACGATTCGATTCGATTCGGTGGAACTCCTTGGAACTCGTTCCTCGGTTCGCCATCTTTCTCCCGTTTGCTCGTTGAAATTATTTTGGGCGTGGAGCGCGGCGAAGGTTAGTGCCATAGTTAAGCGCGCTAAAAGTGTGTCCGGCTAGAGGCAGGGAGGAAAAAATAGGGCGGGGTCTCTTTGTGAGCAGACTTTGCCTATCCATCATGGCCGCTTTATCAATGACGTCATGATAAGAACATTCACGCACAGGCAAACGCATATCGTTCGTGAGACTCGAACGGGAACGGAAGATCGAACCGGACGATTTCCTCGCTTTTTATCTCCTCTTACGTTAACTCTTCTCGCCATCATCATCTCGAAATGGAAAAAAGAAAAAAAAGAAAAAGAAAATAAGGAAAAAAAGAATAAATAAATAAATGACTTGATTTTCATTTTTTCGCTCGAGATAGATCGATAGCTCGAGTGCGAGCGATAAAAAAACTTCTCGATCGTACGAATTAATCGAGTACGTTCGAGATAAGCGAGCGAACGAACGAACGAACGAACGAACGAACGGTGATCCATCCGTCCGTCCGTTTGTATTCGATACACGCGTTCGAATTTCACGCGAAAGCGGGCAACGAGGGAGGGAGGGAGGGAGGATTGGACGCGGCGAATAATAGAGGATAAATGGAGAGGAAAAAATTTTTCCGGTTGATCCGATTGGAAAAGGAGCGGCGGCGGCGGCGGCCGCCGCGGTGTTGCATCCGAGCCGCCGCTACGGAGAAAGTGTGTATCGAGCGATATCGAGCAATGCAGGACAATCGAGATACCGCATTCAAAGTCCATCGGCACCGTTGACCGAAGTATTAAAGGTCGGGCAAAAATAACGCGAACCTTGGTTTCGCTTTGTCTTTTATTCTCTCTCTCTCTCTCTCTCTCTCTCTCCTCTCTCTCACCATTTCCCCCTTCCCCCCCTCCCCTCCCCTCCGCCGGTGGCCGTTTCTCAAACAAGAGTTGTTTCCAAGATCTTTAAATCGATCGATCGATCGATATCATCATCGGGATTTTCGTTCCGAAGGAAATGATTTCTTACAACGATTCGTTCCTACTAAATTCGACACGAGCGAAAGGGGGATGGGGAAAGGAGGGGGGGGGCAAGTCTCTCGACGATCGAGAGAGAGAGAGAGAGAGAGAGAGAAATAAGATTTCCGCGCAACGCGTCAGTTTTAAATAGTCGTGACTATACTTTCGTGACAACTACTTGTTTATCCTTCTTTGCATTTTTACGATTTACGAAGGAGGGGGGAGGGAGGAGGGGCGGGATGGAGGAGGGGAGGCGCGCGGGCGCGCGCGCGCGCGCGACACCTGGCTCGATTATTTTCGTATTTAACCATTCTGGCGCGCGCGGGCTTATCCGGGGAATAAATAAAGAACGCGAAAAAAAGAATGCGAGAAGAAAGAAGGAGGCGAGAAGGAGGCGAGAGAGAGAGAGAGAGAGAGTGAGTGAGTGAGCGACGGTGAGAGGGGAGGGGAAAGAAAAAAAGAGGAATATCTGGCGAAGGCCGAGGCGCGAGCGTTCTCGTCGCCATCCCTCTTTGAAAGTACTGACCACAGACAACTCCGGCACGCGGGAGGGAGATAAAGAAAAAGAAGGAGGAGGAGGAGGAGGAGGAGGAGGAGGCGGAAAAAAGGAAGAAGCGCGGTCAGAGAGGGAAAGAGCGAGGGAAGCATGGCGAGAGGGAGAGAAGACGGGCAATAAAAATAAAGCACCGTCGGCGGCGTCGGGTTGTGTGCGAGCCACGAACGCCGAAGGGGCTGAAGAGTGCGCGGCGCGTAGCAGTTGCGTGGCTCCTCCGCTCCACCGAGCGCACGAAAGAAGCAGAGCAATGAAAGAAGAAGGTGCCGCTGGTGAAGGCGGGCAAGAAAATAAGAGGAATAACGAAAGAAGCAAATAAGAGTCTCTCTGTGCTTCTTCCTCTTTCTCCTCCTCCACCTTCGCCCCCCACCACTGCCACCACCAGTGGCGTAGCCTCCTCTTTCTCGTGGCTTTGCTCCGCGGCTGGAGGGGGGAGAGGCAATGAACAAGAAGAAGGCGAGAACCGGGGATCCGCGGAGAGGGAAATCCTGGCATCGACAGAGAAAGACACCGAAGAGAGAACGGGAGAAAGATGGTTGGATACCGACAAAGACGGA